TTTTCACGCATAGTGAGTGACTTGTTCACCACGGTGTCCTCTCTCTTCGAAAAAAAATTGATCTCCTAGCTTGCGACATATTTTGTCCCTCTCAGTGCCTTCGAAACCGCAGTTATTGGTTTCCCTGCGCTCACCTTCCGCAGCAAGACCCCCCCCCACTAAGCGTTTAGTTGTCACGGAACTCTCTGAGCCATAGTAATCAGTACCCTTTGTTGCTTGGTGCCACCTGGCGGATCTCAACTGAGATGAGGGTAAGAACGTGGGAATGCAGGTAGGTATCACGTTTCGTTATCACGTCCTTTCGCTCCAGGACCTAGTTGATTCACTGTGACCATTCTACAGTGTAGCAAGTCAACTAACTCGGAATGTTTCGAAGGATGTGCGGGAAGCTGACTCGGTTTTGACCTCCCACTGAATCCTTCATTTATCTTTCTCCATTTAAGAAAGTATTCAGTTGCGTGCTGTTCCCATAGACACGCAAGTCTGGCGTCACCAAGTTAGAGAACCCGATGGGACGGAAATCCTGCGTAGCCTCAGGCCAAAATCTATTTTGGCACCACATAAGCACGGAGATACGCCTCTGGGCATTCACTGGTTCGCACCCACGTTAAAAGAGCAGAACAAAGTTTTCAAAGGTATATCTGCTGCCCATACTTCCAGGAGAGTGCGTACATTAACCAGCACGGAGCAGTGCTCAGGGTAATTTGGCAAGACGAACGTCCACTTTACCATTTGCCATTTGACAAGTGCTGAATTTCCTTTTCTTGCAAATTTCGCAACTGAGAAACTCAGAGAGTGGTGTGACGGCAGAGTAGATTTGTGGAAGAGTTGAAATGTTGGATAAAAGTTTGAAGCGAATACGATGCCGAATGCTGCTACGAGTATGGGAAGCTCATCAACTCTACTTTTATTTATTTATTTATTATATGCACTCCTAGGTGCGCTACATTCCTTGATACCATAATCAGGTCGGGACTAAAAGAAGAACGAAAAGAAAAGAAAAAGAATACAAAAAACACCACAGAAACGTAACACAACTCAAGAGAACACAACACAAATGAGCTCAAATGGCACAGAACGGACACAAAATGTCAGCGGAGTAGTAGAATAAGTATAACTACTACCTACAAAGTTCATCATAGGTAAGGAATTGTCCAGTCGAGTATGTAGTAGAAAACAAAGAAAAGAAGAAGCCGCCCGTCTCATTCCCTCGAGCTGTAGTGTGTATACGTGAAATCAACACGAGTAATGTGAAAAAGTTTTTTCAACAGGTGGATGGCGCTAGGGAAAAAACTTTTTAGAAAAAGTTGCACGATTAGTGTCGCAGTATAACAATATTGCACGAGACGGGATATGTCACGAGCCGTCTCTCGCCTCGCCGCGCGCGGCGATTGCAACTGATTTTACGAGAGCAACATGGTCGTGCGATTAAGATCCCGGTCCCTTCACATAGTTCTGGCATCACGCGAATCTGCTTGGGATTTTTCCAAACCAGAATATTCAATGGGACGACAGTATTTTTGAATGGCAGCTGTACTTATTCGACGGGTTGCTGTATTTCTTCAATAGGACCTACTTTACCGTCTGGCCGAGAATCTTAAACCTTACAATATCTTACAATTGAGGCCAAAAGAAGGATTCACCCTGAAAAGAATTTTCGTAGATTGCTGATGTATTCTCTAAATATTATTTCTATGTTAATGTTAGTGGGTTTTATACTAGTAGTTGAATATCGGGCCCATTCCTTTCATAGCCTTCATAGCTACAAGTATAATTAGAAGCAAAGAAAAGCAAACATTGGGAAAGGAATACACTCCCAGGAATACACAAAGCAGACGGTTGGAAATCTCATGAACTATGCAAATGCAAAAAATACATAGCGAAAGCATCGCGGAGAGCACCTCCGCGGCGGCGGCAGGCTGACCTCTCGTGGAGTCCTAACCGTTCCCCCGGGTACAGCATCGTTAGAAGAACCCCATCAAAGGAGGTCGTCGTATTTAGCTCCTAGAGACGTATTTTCGAACTTTTTGAGCTGCCCACTCGCCCGGTTCTTCACGTTTCACCGTTTCATGTATGCTCCCTCTTACAAGGGCCTCTCAAAGTATTATCGGTGTTGGCGTAATTTAGCAGTGACGAAGGAGCATGAATCATTTCATTACATAGGTAACGATCAACACTCCTCGATGGTTGTTGGTGGCGCCAGAAATCTAGCAGGGCTTGGGTTTTATACGGGTTTTTATATACATAAGCCTCCAGGTTTCTGCAAAACCACTGCTTTTGATAGTTGATTTCAGAAGTTAATTAGTGAAGACCTCTACCCCCCCCCCTCCAACGACAGTTTTTGGGAGAACTGGAAACTTTTTTGGGAAATGGTAGCAAGTTGAGAAAATTCAAGACGATGCCGTGTAGGATTGGTCAGAGGAGAGAGTTTTAGGGGTGGGATCGTAAGGACACAGTCATTTCAAACATCACGATGCTGTATCCTGCTTTCGCAGAATTAAGTGCAGGGTACGAAAGCGCCTCCTGCAACCGCAGCATCCCGTAGTCTACGCCTCATGGGAAAGATGAGACAGATGGGAGGGAGAGAGGTTCGTTTGAGAAAACGGATCGGACGGAAACGGAACTGAAGTTCGCAAGGTCACAGTATTTGAAAGCAGAAAATAAATGAGGAAAGGTTATGGGACGGTACGAAGCAGGGTTAAAGTGAACCAATTTTCAGAAATGCATGAACGCTTTATAGAGGGTCTCATCTACCCAACCCTGCATCTCTTCACTTTTCACACATACAATCTTTCTCACCCCACTCGTTAGTGCCTAGAAGCGCAGTTCGGCGAGGGGGCGAGGGAGGGGGGCATTTTGCTTTTTTGCCACTTCTCATCGACATGTCGAGCCATCGAGAGAGCCTTACGAGAGTTGACAGGTTTTATCATGGTGGCTGGACGAGCTTGCTCTATTAGCTACGCAAGAGCTCACAGGTTTCACCAAAGTAGCTTGTAAACCGGAACTACTGAAGCTGCGAAAGCGCGATTTGCCTCCCCCAGTCTCCGAACAGCGCCGCGCCCAGACACATGAAGGTTCTTTAGCCTTTCGTAATACTGAATCAATATAGGAAGGAATAAAGGGGAAAATAGGGAAAATCGAGGAAAAAACGGAAAATAGGAGAAATGTAGGCTGTAGAAATGAACCTTATAACGTTTCGTAGCCCGGGAGGTTACAGGACTCTGCAATATGGCCCGGTATTTCTACAACACTTCACAAACGGCCCCCTCCCTCCCCTTTGGAACGCAACAGCGCCCTTTTTCACCAGTTCACCGCTGTACAGCGCCTGTTGTTTTTTGAACAACTTTCTAAAACTTTCCCTAGGCTACAATGCCCGTGCTACATCATGCTCATTTCGCGCATCGTTGCTCGTGAAAGCAAAATGGGCATGGTGAGGATGTTGGGTAACAATAAGCAATACTGTAACAGTTGTAGATGTACCTAATAAAAAAAGCCAAGGAATGGCTCGAAACAAGTCAAATGCTCTGTTATGTACAACAAGAGCATTGAATATGTGTCGAGAGCTGAATGGGATCATCGATGCTTCAGTAAGCAATAAAACACCACATTCCATTGAGGCTCAGCATCGAATAGAGGCGTTCGTCTTTTTGTTTCTGGACGACGCTAACGTCATTTAATCAGGAAAAGGGAGGAGAGAAAGGGAGAAAGACGAAGTGTATGAATGGCTGTTCAGATGACGAAATCCCCACAAATCTTCTTGGAGGTGTCTCCAAGGCACATTTCGCAATTGCATCACGTAGTTGTGGGGTTGGAGAAGGTTGGAACAGCAGGAGGGTATGAGCCAAGAAACGGGTATAAGCAAAATAACTCATCAGTAGAGAATAAAGGAGCTGTGCGGCTCATGAGAGGCATATTTTTTAGTTCCTTTTGTTGGCTCGTGTGGGCTCACAGGTCTCATGTTCTCTTGTGAAGCTGTGGAATTCTACGAACCGGCCACTTCGGCTAGAGGATTTCGCCAGGTTCCACAAGTTGGCTTTCTCAAACTTCACTGAGCCCCATTTGGTACCTCACCAAGCCAAACTGCGCCGAAAATACAGAAGCAACCGTCGACAGGCCCTTTTTGTCTGACAATGAGCACGGGCACATGGCAAGGGCGATGTTTTGGTGTGTGTGTGTGTGTAGGGGGGTTCTCACCTGTTCATAGCGAAGCAGTCGTCGGCTCGTCTCCACTGTCGCCACTTTTCTCCATCGGAATCTCCACCATTTTCTGTCTTATGGCGATTATTTGCACGCCTCTGTCACCACTAGAGCAACGTGGACGTACCTAGATCTCACGGGCTTGCTCCGTGGTGCACTCTGAGTCGCCGAGAGAGAAAGAAAGAGAGAGAGAGAGAGAGAGAGAGAGAGAGAGAGAGAGAGAGCATATCCTTGCTGGTTGGCTCAGGCCTCCTCCCATTAAAAGAGGCTCAGACTCCCGTTAATCGAGAAATGCACTTCTGTTCTTTCTTCGACGGCAACAGTCCCTTAATTTGATAATTAAATGAACACCACTCAGAGGACATCCGCCGATGCAGCGGGTCGTTACTATGACTAGCTGCATCGGCAAATTTCCTCTGCTTTGGTAGACACTTTCGCATCCACAGGTTTTTGCCAGAAAGCATCTTTCTCCCTCCCCAGCGTTAGTGTTGAAAAGCTGCAACTTATCTATCGTATTCTGTAGCAAGTGCACCACAAAGACAGTTCTGTAATTCAATACTAAGAAAGACCTGCTTATTGATGGCGACATCTGGGATACACTTTTTATCGGGCATTGTCCGATATAGTGAAATCATAGGAAGAATTAGCCGCTCATGCCCAGTCTGCGTGAGGAATGAGCTTTGAAGCGAGCAAACCAACTACTTTATAAAAAAAGTGTTCCCCGAATGCAATAAACGATAAGGGGTGGTCTGGTAGCTTTCAGGCAAGGTGTTCGGCAGAACTGAATTAGTTCCGTGTTGGATATGCTGCGGCAAGTTATTTTGCTGGTATGGCAAGACACAAATGAGCTTAATATCACAATCTATCCCGACTATACAAATAGCGACAAGTACGTCAAAACATCGTCGTTGAATTGGCGATTTCCACGTTGTAGTGGGCGCTTGTCAAATTCAAGGGGCAGTGAAAAGGAGATCACCATCGTGAAGCAACCAAAGGAATGTCCTCTAGAAGTAAATTACTCCACGATCCAAAGCCATTGTTTCACATTGGTCGTTTCACGTTCCATCAGAAAGATTTGCCTTTTTGAAATTTTGAAGCCCATGAAACTTTGGCGACCTTCAGAGTTCGCGATTACTCTCGTCGACCCCCTGTAACGCGCAACAATCGCAATAGTGCTCCAAGGCTAGGGTCACGAACCAGCAGCAGACGGGAACCGCGGGAATCGACTGGCGCCGTTTGTGTATTGTGAGCAGGGCACGCCATCGTTGTGATCATCACAACGGGGGGGGGTCGTATTTGCCCCCGATGGAGGAGGGGGGGGGGTCGTAAAAGCTAATAGAAGTTTGGAAGGAACCCCAGAAAAGAGTGCCTCATGCAGTGAGCGGCTTAACAACAGTTCAAACAACTGTCGCCTAAACCTACACCTGGAAAAAATGCCGGACTCTAAAACGCAATTTCCTGATGCGAATAACATTTGAGGTGTTGCTCATGCTTCAAGTCCGAATAGAAGGGTGATGAAGATGACAAAGGCTAGAAATGAAGAACAACGAATGCAGATGTAAATAAAACAAAAATGAAAAAGTTAAGGAAACACAAATCAACAAAATCGCGTGTAATTCCTTCAGTTCGGCGCGATTCCGGCTCCAAAGCCATAGAAATACTTTAAACTTACGAGTGGGACGACGACTAAAACCAGATTCAGGTGTTGCAAACAAAAGCCGAAGATGATGACGAGGGCCAGACAAGAGATGAAGATGAACAAGAGAGATGAAGTAAATCATCATAATCGTAGGCAATGCATGCTAGTTGTTCGCGGTCAGCCGCACGCGAGGAGTGCAATTCCCACGCTAATACAAGCGCATTGGTGCGCGCTTTTTCAAGACCTGGAGTCTGAACACCCACCTAGCTTCGTTGGAAGAAAAGCTCTTGAAGAGTGGAAAGTAGGAATGAGTGGAGCTAGGTTGGCTCTTGTTACCTGAGTTGAGCGATTTCAAAAACATTCCTTTTCAAGAAATTTTCCCCGTTGTGATCCTCTTGTGATCATGGGGGCCAACCACAAGTCGCTACGCTTTGGACATCCATGGCAAGCTTCATACACGGCCTTTCGTAAAAAAAGAACTGTGCCGGAAGCATGAAGCTTTCTACTTTCCAGCGAAACTTTGATTTTCTCCCTAGGCCTGCTATTCGAAAAAATCCCCCGTTGTGATCATATCGTGATCACTCCCCACGACACGAAAAATCAACCCCTCCGAGGCCATGAAACCTCCAGTTGACTTGAACACTTTGGTATGCTTCTAAAACGCATGTTTTCGTCAAGTATATCAGGTAATAGTTCATTGGGCTCTAATTGGCATCACCTCTGCAATGCGCCATGCATAGGGCTTTCAGGCAGAGGTGTTGGGAAGGTGCAACTTCTAGATAGGGCTTCCTAAGCGCAAGCACATGTGTTCCTGCGATCAGAAAGGTCTGAAAATGTACTTTCATCTGTTTATTGATCGTCACGTCGTGAGTCCTTTGGTTTATTTATAGACCAGTCGGATCACCCGGCTGCCGCCGGGTGCTCCTCCTTCTTTGTCACGGTATGGTATAATATGGTATACGGTATAATATGGTACCCATTCACGGCACCTATCCCCGATCTGAGCTCAGCCATCCCCCACTCAGCCACCCTAAGGGTCACGTGCAGCTGCTACGTGAATAGCCCGTGCAAAGACTCTGAGTACACTAAATGGTTGTGTTATATTGTGAAGGGTGTTATGACTATCGAAATTATGACTATCAAAACGCTACCACAATTTGATAATGCAATATTACTCGGTTCATTTCCGAAGGCGGTCTATTTCTTTTCTTCTCTTACCACATCTGTAAAGGCCTTATCGCCGCAGTCGCTGCTACTGATCGCGAGATCGTCGCACTCATCTGGTACCTCCTCACCACATCATATCCCACTCACCCTACTGCACGTGGTCACTACCATGTGAGCAGCTAGCGCAACATAGGACACTCCCCCGCCGCTGCTCTTACTACCGCCCTGCTCACATCCAGATTCTAAGCGAGCAGCTCGTGTAATAGCTCAGAGTCTTATATAGCAGAGAGCGATACCACGATCCAAGCAACTTCTTAGTTCGTTGCTGTGACACGGATTACCTTGCAGTTTTGCTAGCAGTTCCTTCTCTTTTCTCTTGCTGCCTGCTCCTACGCTACACACCGCATCGCTGTACCCAGTTTGCCCGATCCAATCCCTCTGCCTCCCTCCCCTGTATGGGCTCAAATCCGACTGAGCACACGCAAGGGAGGAGAACAGGAGAAGAGGTCACTCGGTACCCACTCCCACCTTCCTCACCTCATCCCTTTCCATACTCGCCACTCCCCTCCCCATCTTGCCCCTTGCGCGCGCTCACTACAACTACCACACGAGAAACCCGTGCAATGGCTCGGAGTGTGGTGGTCCTCTTATATAGTGGAAAGTGTTATTATGACAACTTTTCAATTCGTAACGGTAACATGGATTAGCCTGCGGTTTTCTTATCGGTTGTTCCCTCCTCCTTTGCTGCGCGTTTCTACTCAAGCGCGCGCTACGCACCCCTCCCCTGCACCCCCTTCGGGGCCCCTCCCCTCTGCCTCCCTCCCATACACGTGCTCAGCTCCGGCTGAGCACGTGCAGGAGAGGGAGGCAGGGCGACCCGGTACCCCCACCCTGCCCCCGCACGAGCACACGTCCAGCTGCCACGCCAGCAGCTCGTGCAATGGCTCGGAGTGTACCGAATGGTTGTCTTATATAGCGGAGGCTGTTATCACAATCAAATCATTGGACTGCTACATCCTCCCAGTCGGTTACCGGTTTGCCTAGCGGTCGTTTTCGCCTCCAGCGAACTCGAACCCGTGAAGTATTTTGCGGACGGACAGACAAACATACATACATACATACCTACAAACCTACATACATACAAACATACAAACCGACACACAAAGTTACTGGTTTATAGAATGAAAGGATATGGTGCCCTTGTGGGCGGTGATCGTAGCTCCTACCATCGCCCCTTCCTCGTACGTATTGTCTGTATGCTCCACCAGCGCCAGAGTGCTGGACGTGCTTGGGACGTACTGCGATCTCTCCCCCCCGCTGCGACCTCCCCTCCCACCGCTCGACAGCAGAACGTAAAAAAACCAGAGATTTTTCGGGAAAAAGCAGGATGTTGGGAGAATCTAGGAAAGTGGAAGGTAGCATGGGGGGGGTCGTACTTGAGATGGAATTAGGGGGGGTCGTATTTTTCAGGAAATGATCACAACGCAATGGCGTGCCCTGATTGTGAGATAGTATAGGGGACTAGGTGGGTACGTCTTGTCCAGTCATGCAATCTGGTATCGACCGGCATTGGCTGTTAGACCGGCTATTCTCGCCTGCCGCTACGTTCGCGCCCATAGACTGAAGCGCTAATGCAATTGTATCGCGTTACAGCGCCTTACAGCGCGTCGGCAGGGCTCATTGCAGAGTTTGAACGCCACCTTGTTTTCCATTTTCTCGGGCACTTTTCGATATCTGAGCCGTATGTCGAGAAACTGACTCGGTTGGATGAGGAAGAGTTATTCTGTCGGAGAAGCGTCTGATGTGTAGGGGCTGGGTTACTGAGAATCTCATAGGGTTAACCGTCAGCTTTGGCGGTTTTGTAGAGAAAAAATAGTAGGGAAGTCTCTCGATCCACTTCTCAGAAACACACTTCTTATTCATAAAAGTGATTAAAACACATACTGTGCACTCTGTTACTTCCAAGGGGGACTGTCGTTTCCAGGTTCCAGGAAGTGGGCTGGACAATAGCGATACTCGATGCGGTCTCAATACTCCTCGCGCTATTCGGGAGGTGAGGCACTTGCCTCGATATCATAGTCCTGCAGAGAGACACGCCTCGGACCTAAAAAACAACCAGAACTGAGAGGGCGCAGATAAGAAGAGCGCTTGGCTATGATCAGACCTGTTGCAAGCCGCGCTTCAGGAGGATTGTGAAGAAATCGCCTGAGTATCCAGAATTACAACAGTCTAAGGTGGTGATTTACGCAAGATTTGCTCTTGCAGCCAAACGCTAACGCTACCAGTGGCGAATTGACTGCGACATTTAGGTGCAGCCTAAATGTCGACCGCTATCAATCAGCTCACTGCTTTTGGTTTCCATAAATTACTTTCGACAAGGATTCCGCACAAATTTAGTTAGCCAATTAGAGAGCGCTCGAGCCATCATCCGCAGTACAGGTGACGAAATCAGAGACCCACATGTCAATGGTACGAGCAATTGTAAGAAGTTGTCGCGAGCAGACTTGTCGCTAAGGAAACGAAATGTGGTCCAAAATAAAAAGTGGTTTTTTGTGTTCCTGATGGAATCCGTGTGTATCACAATCCTGTTCAGGATGATTCGTGTGAAGAGTTTAGATAATTGCCAATGTCGTACAGGTCTCCCTTCTTGTACAGCAACACAGTCTTGCTGGTTTTCCACGAGGTGGGTACCTTGCATTCCGACAGGTAGCGCGTGAAGAGTCGAGCCAGAGTTTTGACAAGAACTGGCGGAAGATTCTTCAGATGTTCGGGTCTGATCCTGTCGGGACCGGGTGCCGTACGATTCTTCACCGACGAGATGGCGTGTCGGACTTCGGAAGGGAGAACTGCAGGAACGACATATCCATCTGCTCCAAGCGGTATGGTGGCAGGTGGACGCGGCTGTCAAAGAGATCGCTTCCTTTATCGCTTCTCTGCATAGCTTCGCAAGCTCAGACGTCAGCTGGTAATTGCCTGCGGCTCGTGCGGCTCCACGTTGGCGAATCAGCTCGAGAGTTTCCAGAGATAGACGCTTCTTGGTAATCTTGGAACTCTCTGACTTCTTGGCGCAGTCGTGAAGATGTGCGACAAGCCGTTCGTATTCCTCGTCGATGTTGTCGACGGAATCCTCCCAGAGCCCAGCGAGAGAAGTGAAGTGATCCCAGTTGATGACGGTCTTGGGGCTTCGCTTCTTGAACTTTGCGGCTCTCTCTCCTCGCATCGAAAAGCGGAATCTTGCGCGAAGGAGACGGTGGTCGGATCCCGTGTAGAACTTAGGAACAACAGCGACATCGGTCAGGCAAAACCTTCGATTGAAGATGATGTGGTCGATCTCGTTATGGAATTGTCCACCAGGAGACTCCCATGTCCAGCGTAGAGAGTAGGGCTTCTGGAACTGCGAGTTACCATGGATGGTGTGGGTCGACATGATAAACTCAGACAGCCTTTCACCCTGCTCATTCCACTCCGTTCCGTGAGTTCCGATGTGAAGTTCTTCAGCCGTTCTTCTTGGTCCGATCTTAGCGTTGAAATCACCGACGATGACCTTGAAGAATGATCTTCCTTGTAGAACTTCTCCAATTCCATATAGAACGCTTCGAGCTCATAGCTCGTCGCTTGATGTTGGTGCGTAGGCGACGAAGATTGTCAAAGCTGGAGTTGAACCACATCTTCTCAATCGCAAACGTCCGATTCGGGTCGTCAGATTTTCGTACGAATCGATGTTCATGGCCAAGTGCGTGTTGACGAGGACGCCCACACCGCCAACGCCTCTGCTGTCGCATGTTCCGAGGAACAGTTCTTCTCCAGTCTCGTATACGGCGTGTAGCGGCCTCCTCGTCTCGGTCAGTCCGATGACGTCGTACTTGATCTTCCTGGCTTGCAACATCAGATCTTCGATGTGAGCTTCCGATGCAAGCGTCCGTGCGTTGAAAGTACAGATCGTCATCCTAGTCCTGGGCGACTTAAATCTCCGTTGGCCCTGTGATTCTTGCAGCCTCGCCCGAGCGGTCCCAGCCGACGTCGCCCTGTCGGTGGTTCCCTCAGGTTCAGGGGAATGAGGCCCATAATTATTACTGTTTTCGGCGAGAAGAAATTTAACCACGCGTAGCTCGCCAGGCTCTGACGTGGCACCCTCCGCTGCTTTAACTATTTTTTGAAATATTGTTTAACAAGATATGTTTTTTGTCTGTTAATTCTATATTTATTACTGAAAAAATTAAGTAGACTGTCCGCAACTTCTTCATATACCTTTTTAACTTGAAATCTAGTTGTCCCAAATCTATTCTATATTTAGTACCTTTTTCGAGTAAAGATCGCAGTATTTTTTCTTTAACAATACTAAGATCTCCTGTTATAACATGTCCACTGTTACTATCTATGTAATCCTTAACCTTAACATCACAAATACATCATCTGAGCATAACCTCTATTTCTTCATTATTCCATTCCTTTATAAGCCTATTGTATTAAATTTTTTACTGGAATTGTATTATTGTATGTGAAAATAGTTCTAATCGGGGTGAATTCCTTTTTTGTTAGTATGATGTTGGATGAAAATTCTTCCAAGAGTTCTAGAATTGAAGATTCTGGTAAATGGTATCTGATCAAATATCCTACTATAAAAATGTATGACTGTATTGTGGTAGTTTCTCTTATCTCTTTCGATTTTCATGTCATAATGAAAATGAGATAACAGGCAAAATATCAGAAACCTAGTTTTCTCTTCGACATTAACCAAGAAATCGCTATTCACAGAAAATTTAATCATTTCTCTCATTTCTGTCTTTCTCGGACACTTGAGTAGTTTATAGTAAAGTATTGGCTTGAGTGTGTCTTCCTCATTAACCATTTTGTTCAACACATCCCTGTACTGTGTTACCTTTTTCTTTTTCTTTTTCTTAGCACCTCTATTGGTCCTGGCTTTTGCTATCTTTAGGAAAGATAGAAAGGAGAAAAAAGGTGTACTACTTTTCAGCATAAGCGGAGTGCTAAGATAAGAAATGATACCATAGCCTTTGATATTATCATTTAATCCAAAGGGATAAGCAATTAGCATCGGCAGTTTAATCCAAAACAATTCCTTCTCCAGTAAAGTATTTTTATCATTGCTTGGAGCCGATACTGTTACATATATACCTTCGTCGCATTTTAAGAAATGGTTATAGAGTATCGCATGTTTTATATGGATGGAAATGTTAGAGAGATTTCCCATGTTCTTTCTTTCAGCTTTCTTATCAACATACCTATATATTGAATTCCACATTTTTTTACGTGTTATACAATGCATAATATTGGTTGTATTACATCTGCCTTTTTATAGTTTTACCTTGTAATTTTGTTACATGTGATATTATATAACTTTCCATATAAGTAATACTACAAACTCTGCAATTTTTTGCCTTTTATCCATTTATTATTGCCGAAATTGTCCAGCACGTACTGATTAGCCTCTCCTCTTACCTTATTAAATTTGTTTCCTGTGTAGTAAGTAGTAATAAGTTTTATTTTTTGACCTCTTAATCTGAGCATATGGGCGGTCCTAGCCCCTAGAGGGGTCTCGCTTTCGGGTTTGGCAGGACTGCTGCCAGATGTTGGCACTCCCTGCTTTGTTCCCTAATGAGAACGACTAGCGCTGTAGGCGTCAAAATTTCATCCCTTGTGCCATTTTTTACTATTGTAACCCCATCTACACTAATCCCTATTTTTAGTAAGAGGTAGACGAACTTGGCGTCACGAAGCCGCAAAGGCGTAGAATTGATAAGCAGCCGTGGTTATGGACCGACAATGTCAAAGAAACGGTTCGCGAGAAGAAGAGGCGCTACCACGCGTTTCTTGCCGACAAGTCAGCTAGTAGCTGGCGTAAGTACAAAGAAGCGAAGAATGTAGCGAAGAAGGCTGTGGCTGCAGCGAAGGCCGCCCACTTCGAAGATGTCAGTAAGGAACTCGATTCACGTGATGGTGAGCGGCACCTCTACCGACTTGCCAAGGCTCGGCATCGTCAGACCGAAGATATCGAGAAATTTCCTGGCGTTAACGACGAGCATGGCCGCCTTTTGATGGACCGAAAGAGGGTGCTGAGGCGATGGCACGACTTCTTTGAGAATATTTCAACCGTAGAGTATGCGCACCCGGCCATCCCTTTCGTCCCTCCAGTATACGGTCCCTTTCGAAAAGTAACCGAAAGAATAAGAAGAAGTAACGAATGTCTTCCAGTTTAAAAGAAGAAGGACGCTGTTTTTAATTTTTTTATTGCTGGTCACACCATCGAAGAACTCGAAGGATAAATATGGAACGAGTGAGTTTTTGAAGTGATCAAATTATTGATAGAAAGAGTTACTTTGTTCCTGCCTTTCGAATTGTTGGGCGTAATCTAGTTATTTATTAGATACCTGGATTTTCATTGGGGAATACCGATCAG